ATGACTTGGATGATAGTGAGAACACTTCCTTAGGTAGTATTCGGACTTTTCTTTGAATCTACGTATTGTACCCTTTGTTCCTGATACCTCTCAGTTAAGTGTTGTATGTCATACCATTATCCAACCTAAAGGTGCTATAGATTTTTGTAATCATGCCATTTTCAAGGAAACTCTTTGGAATTGGGATTTGATCGTCCCAACAATTCAAATTATATATAAAAATTATGTGAGCAATTTATAAGTATGAGTCCCTTTGAAATTATTCCTGGTTATGAGCCTACGAAGTCTTTGGACCTTATTCTCATGTCCCCACATGCTAGTGTGTCGATGTCAGCTGAGGCATTTGTACATCATTTTCATGATTTGCATATTGAGATCAATAAACGATTTGAAGCAAGTAATGCATTATATAAATTTCAAGATAATTTGCATAACGACATTTTGAATTTAATATTGGGGATTATGTTATATTGCAAGCCCGTAGTGCTGGTCATTTTCAAATTTTAAAGCATGTTAGTCCAAATGCACATGTCATTGATCTTTTATCATATTTTGGCTACCACTCTACTTTAAATATTGAGGACTTCTTTACTTACAAACACCGTTTCAATTCTTTGATAATCCTTTTCTATTTAGCTCTGTGGACTCCCAACCTGTCTATATTGATATTTATACTTCCGTACCATCTGTCACATCACACAAAGATACAATTGATGTTATTTTAGATGAACAGATTATGTTGATCAATGATGGAGAGATTCGGTGCTTCCTTGCTCGTTGGGTAGTTCCACCTGATGCAGATCGTACATGGAGTTCTATAGAGAAGCTCCAACAAATCTGGATTACAGTGCTGGAGTTTCAATATTTAGCTCTTACAAAAGATCGTCCCCCGTGGTAGAAGCTTATCTACTCGACGGGGTTGAGTTTTCTCCCACCCCGAGAGAGTTGATGTGGACATCAATGATCGAAATTTAGTTTTTTATTGTTATTAGACCTTATTAGTTATGTTTTCTATT